ATTTTTATTGCCAGTGTGCAGGACTGAACATTTGTTAGCAGAGATTTGGAGTTGCCAATTGTTTGACCATTCAGATACATAATCTAGGTCATTTTGTAGAGTAGTAGAATTGTCTGTGGTGTTAAATAGTTTTACATCGTTGGCAAAGAGGATGCAGCTGCTTATAATATGATCACAAAGGTTGTTTATATTAAGTAGAAAAAGTATTGGTACTAGAACGCTGCCTTCGGGAACACCACTGATAGTTAATACATCTGATTAAACATATTATATAATAAATTGGATTTGAATACTTTAGTCACTGCTTTTGCCAAATTCCCTAGACAATTACTAATAAAATGACACTCAAGTTGGAGATATACATTCACTTTAATGGTTTAAGTATATGCATAGTGCTCTCCAGGATAGGTAACAGCTGAATCATGGGATGTAATTACAATTATTTCTGTGAGTATATTCATAGAGCAAGATTTTCTTAAACATTAAATAAAAGCATAAAAAGAGAGCTATATAATATCTCTAATCTATTCTCCAATGTGTCAACATAATTGACTACTCTTGCAGAGTTATATTTAGAAAATACAAGGCAGACTGAAAATTAGTTCACACCAGAGTCTCCAGTGATTATTTTGAATCCAGTGTTCACACTTTGCTTCTTAAACTGGACTATATTTGGCAAAACGATACTCTTTCACTTCTTTATTCTTTCTAGTTCAAAATTGATTGGCAGATATATCACAAAGGAAGGGAGAGGAGCAGAATAATCCATAATTTGGTAATATTTTTATACACAAATATTTACACACACACATACACATACAGACACACACACATCTGGCACCTTCCATGTGTGTTGAATAAACAATCCCATCAACCCCAAACAAGTATCATACCCAAGCCATCTTGTTTACTGCATCTTTGTGTAAATGTTATAATCTTGAGCACTGACCTAGTCACCAATTGACTAGACAAGTGAATGGAATTCTTTCCTAGCATTAAGTAAACCAACAGCATATTCTCTCCTGGCTATTACAAATGTATCTTTGTTCCTTGGTAGCAAGTATGAAAATACACTGAATGTTAAACAAGAGGCAGATTGCATTATCACTCTTTCCCAAAACTGCTTGGTTTGTGTGCTGACTGTAAAGGCTGTTATTATCCCAAATCCAGTATAGAAATGTGATGGATTTGGAAATCAGAAATAATGTTCTATTTGTCTCTTGCCAGTCCACATCAGTTCTAGCCTCCAGACATTTTCTCCTCCCCCAATTTCAAAAGGGGACTTATTTTATGACTAGAAAGCAGCCGAATAAAGCAATAACTACTAGTAGTTACCGAATGGATAATGTTTGACCAGGACTTATATAAATTACATAATACAATTATCTAAACAGGAATCTAAGAGAAATAGCAAAGGTCTGTGACAAAATAATTTAAATGCAATAGCCAATACACCAGAAGACAAACTCAGAATCCAAATGGATCTTAACAGACTTGAATAATGGGTCCTATACAACAAAATGAAATTTAATGGAGAGAAAACAAGTTTTTACACAGGCAGGAAAAACCAAATGTACAAGTACAAATTACATGAAACCTGTCTCAAAAACGGTAACTGTGAGAGGGACCTTGGAGTCCTAGTGGATGATCACTTAAATATGTGTAAAGAAGTGTGTGGCAGCAGCCAAAAAAGCTAATACAATCTTTATTTTATTTTATTTATTTATTTTATTTAACTTATATGCCGCCCTATCTCCAATGGACTCAGGGCGGCTCACAACAATAAAATCCACAATAACCTCAGTACAAAGTTAAAATACCTAATTAAACCAGATAAAAGTTAAAAACCCATATAAAATTTGGGTTTATGGCTTCCATGACAGCCATGGACCTGACACAATTAATTCATGGCCCCACTCACGTGGGAGGACACACTCTGGACTTGGTTTTTATCTCTGGTCAGTGGCTGAGTGGTCTGGATATAGGGGATATAGTTATTGAACCCCTGTCATGGTCGGACCATTCTCTCCTGAGACTGGACCTTTTGACCGCTGCACCCCACTGCAGGGAGGCGGAACCGACCAGGTGGTTCCGCCCCAGGCACCTGATGGATCCTGATAGGTTCCAGAGGAAGCTTGGGCCAGTTCCTGAAACTCTGGCTCACGACTCGGCTGAAGATCTGGTGGCTGCCTGGGATAGGACGGCCGCCGGTGCTCTGGACCGAGTCGTGCCTTTGTGGCCTCTGACCTGACGCCGAACCTGCTTGGCCCCTTGGTTTTCCGAGGAGCTGAGGGAGATGAAGCACCGGAAAAGACGCCTAGAGAGTGGTTGGAGGGCTAGTCGCTCCGAATCCGACCGAACACTAGTTAGGTCTCATATTAAGACCTATCTAGTGGCGATAAAAGCGGCAAAGCGTAACCACATTTCCGCTCTTATTGCATCGGCAGATAACCGCCCAGCCGCCTTGTTTAGGGTGACTCGCTCCCTCCTACATCAGGGAGCGCGGGAAGACCCCTTGCAAGGGCAGGCTGAGGATTTTGTACAGTATCTGCACGATAAAATCGCTCAGATTCGGGAAGGCTTGGACTCTGACTGGGTAGATCCTGGTGGGGTGACTGAGGCTGGTCTTGAGAATGTTACCTGGGATGAGTTCGACCCTGTGACTCCTGAGGACGTGGACAGGATCCTGGGGAGGTTAAACGCAACCACATGTTTATTGGACCCATGCCCCTCCTGGCTGGTACTGGCCACCCGGGAGGTAACACGAGGCTGGCTCCAGAGGATTATAAATGTTTCTCTTAGAGAGGGTTTCTTGCCTCCCACCTAGAAAGAGGCGGTGGTGAGGCCCCTCCTCAAGAAGCCTTCTCTGGACCTGGCCGTTTTGGCAAACTACCGTCCGGTCTCCAACCTTCGCTTTGTTGCGACAGCTCCCACAGTTCCTGGATGAAACCGTCTATCTAGATCCATGCCAGTCTGGCTTCAGGCCTAGGTACAGCATGGAGACGGCATTGGTCGCATTGGTGGATGATCTCTGGAAGGCTCGGGACAGGGGTTGTTCCTCTGTTCTGGTCCTGTTAGACCTCTCAGCGGCTTTTGATACCATCGACCATGGTATCATGCTGCACCGGCTGGAGGGATTGGGGGTGGGAGGCACCGTGCTGCGGTGGTTCTCCTCCTATCTCTCTGACCGGTCGCAGTCTGTGTTGGCAGGGGGGCAGAGGTCGACCTCGAGGCGCCTTGCTTGCGGGGTGCCGCAAGGGTCGGTCCTCTCGCCGCTCCTGTTCAACATTTATGTGAAGCCGCTGGGTGAGATCATCCGTGGTTTTGGGGTGCGATGTCATCTGTACGCTGATGACACTCAGCTGTACATTTCCACCCCAGACCACCCCAATGATGCCCTTGAAGTGATGTCCCAGTGTCTGGAGGCCGTGCGGGTCTGGATGGGGAGGAACAGGCTTCGGCTCAACCCGAATAATAAATAAATACATAATCCCATCAGTCCAGGCCGGGGGACTTGAATAACCAACTTTTTAATTCATGGCGGAAAGTGCGAAGGTCAGGGGCCAGCCAGAGCCCCAAGGGGAGTTGATTTCAGAGGGTGGGCGCGCCCACAGAGAAAGCTCTACCCCTGCGGGTCGCCAGCCAACATTGTCTAGCCGACGGCATCCTGAGCAGGCCCTCCCTATGGGCGATGGGAAGTTGTTGCTGGCTGCAGGTGGTCCACCAAATATTCTGGGCCTAAGCCATGTAGGGCTTTATAGGTCATCACCAGCACCTTGAATCTCACTTGGAGGACAACCGGCAACCAATGCAAGTCATGCAGGAGAGATGTTACATGGGAATATCAGAATTCTCCCATCACAACCCGCGCAGCTGCATTTTGTACCAGCTGAAGCCTCCGAGTGATCCTCAAGGGTAGCCCCATGTAGAAAGTGTTACAGTAGTCAATACGGGAGGTGACTAGCACATGAGTAACTGTGCATAGGATATCTCGGTCCAAGTAGGGGCACAACTGGTGCACCAGACGGATCTGGGCATATGCCTCCCTGGTCATGATTGTTATATGGCCTTCTAAACTCAACCGTGAGTCCAGGAGGACATCCAAGTTGCATGCCCTGTCTACAGGGGGTAAAACTTCACCCCCTATAGCCAACGATGGAAGCTCTCATTTGGACCGAGATGCCGGTACCCACAGCCACTCGGTCTTGGCAGGGTTGAGCCGAAGCCTGTTCCTTCCCATCCAGACCCGTACCGCTTCCAGGCATCGGGCCATCATGTCGAGGGCATCACTGGGTTGGTTCAGTTGCATAAATAGAGGCAAAGAATCAAAATGACAGGAAGTATTAGTATTTTTAAAATTTTAGTAAGACCACACCTGGAATACTGCATCCAGTTTTGGTCACTATGTTACAAAAAAGATGTTGAGACTTTAGAAAAAGTGCTGAGAAGAACAACTAAGGTGATTAAGGACCTGGAGACTAAAACACAAAGAATGGTTGCAGGAATTGGGTATGGCTAGTCTAGAGAAAAGAAGGACTGGGGTGACATTATAGCAGAATTTCAGTATTTGAAAGCCTGCCACAAAGACAACGAGGTCTACTTATTTTCCAAAGCACCAGAAAGCAAGATAAGAAACAATGGATGGAAACAGAAAAGCAACCTGGAATTAAGGCTTAGTGTTAGATATCAAGTACAGTTCAAATGAGCCAATCAGGAATTAGTCCTGAGAGCGGGAAATTAGAAGGCACGTCAGTGGTTGCAGCCGGGGACAGCCCCTTCCTATATAAAGGGTTGCCCGGGGTTTGAATTGCCATTGCTGTTTCTGGAGTTAAATAAAAGAGTTACAGTTACATTGTTTCGAGTCTTCCTTCAATCGCCCACGATTTAACATTGGCGACGAAGGTGGGATCTGAAGGAACAGGACTGCACATCAATCTCCAAGCAATCATCAGCCACCCATCCGATCCACCGAAACACCGGTCAGATCATCGGCTATCGTGATGTCTGCAATCACACCGCCCGCTCCATTCAACCCAACCGGGGAAGATTGGGAAGCTTACATGGAGCGATTCTATATGTTCATGGAGGTGAACGATCTGCTGAGCTTATCAGAGCAGAGGAAGAGGGCCCTTTTCCTCACCCATTGCGGCCCGGCAGTGTTTAAAATGTCAAAAGCGCTTGCCGCCCCAGCCGATCTGAAGACCATGACCTGGACAACGTTGCAAGAAATACTCAAGGCACACTACGCACCACAAGCATCATCCCTGGTAAGAAGGCATGAGTTTTATCGGAGGGACCAAAGAGAGGGAGAGACAATCAGTGCGTTCGTGGCGACCTTGCGGGAAATAGCTGCCGCATGCAATTTCCTGAATCTAGAAGAGGCCATGAGGGACCGTCTAGTACTGGGACTGAGGGACCTCACGTTACAGAGTAGGTTGCTGGCCCGGCCTCAAATTACATTCAAGGAGGCCTTGGAAGAAGCATCCGCAACCGAAGCTTCCCAGAAATCGGCGGCGGCTATGAAGAAAATGAAAAGCGGGCCGCCCGTAAAGGAGGAGGCGGCCGTGCACTATGAAAGAGTGGAATCGGGTTCGGAGGAAGAGGACGAGGAGGATGAAGTCCATCACCTCCGAGCCGATCGCAAGGAGAGACAACAGGGGAAGAGAGAGGCCTGGTGCTTGGGATGCGAAGGGAACCACCCAAGAGCCGAATGCAGATTCCGGGACGCTATCTGCCAAAGATGCGAAAAGAAAGGGCACATAGCGAGGGTCTGCAGGACATCCCAGCCAGCCTCAAGGAGGACCAGACCCCCCCGATCGCCAACAAACAACAGAAAATTCCAGACAAGTGGGAAGAGACAACCGTTTGGGCGAGGACAAAGAAACGATGACCATCGGGCGGATCGAGGCGAGACCCATCAAACCATCGTGATCGGCCATGCCAGCGCGGGAAGGGCAAATAAGATGGCGGCAACAGTCTTGATCGAGGGGAGACCCTGCAGAATGGAGGTGGACTCGGGATCCAGCCTATCGATGGTATCCTGGACAACAATCAAGAAGCTCCTGCCACACATCACAGCCCGCGACCTCAAACGACAGCGCCTCACCCTCATCGACTACCAAGGGAACCGAATTCCTGTGGTAGGCATTGGCAAGTTGAACGTAGCCTACAAGACATTCAAAGCCACGCTACCCCTCACGATTGTGGACAGAGACCGGCCCAGCCTGCTGGGCATGGAGTGGTTCGAGCCATTGGGGCTAGCCATCACCGGCGTCGATCACATCGGAAACGACACCTGGGAGGAGGACCTGATGAGGGAGTTCGCAGAGGTCTTTAACAACGAGCTAGGCAAGTACAAAGGGTCCCCAATCTCATTCAATTTAGACCCCCAGGTAGCCCCAATCCGAATCAAACCCCGGAGAGTCCCTTTTGCGCTACGGCCAAAAATAGACGAACAATTAGATAAACTGGTCGTGCAGGGAGTGTTAGAGCCAATAGACCACACGAGATGGGAAACCCCCATCGTGACACCGATTAAACCGGACGGGTCAGTACGCTTGTGTGGAGACTATAAAAGTACATTAAATAAGGCGCTCCAACAAAGCGCATACCCTGTACCAGTAGTCCAACACCTCTTGCATTCCTTGGGGAGGGGAAGAATCTTCGCAAAATTGGATTTAGCACAAGCATACCAGCAGCTGCCCGTAGATGAAGCCACCGCGGAAGCACAAACCATCGTTATACACAGGGGCGCATTCAAATGTAAGAGACTGCAATTTGGGGTGAGCGTAGCGCCCGGGCTTTTCCAAAGCCTGATGGAACGACTCCTACAGGGAATCGAGGGAGTCGTCCCATATTTCGACGATGTATTAATATCAGCAAGGGACACGACTCAATTGAAGCAGCGGCTGAGGGAGGTGCTGACAAGGTTCCAGAAAGTGGGACTCAAAGTTAAAAGGGACAAGTGCCAACTAGCAGAGACTCAGGTCGAGTTCCTGGGATACTTGATAGATGAGTCGGGAATTAGACCCACCCCCGGGAAGCTGAGAGCGATCAAGGAAGCACCCCCCCCAAAAAATAAAACCGAACTGCAGGCATTTTTGGGGTTGCTTAACTTTTATAATATCTTCCTACCGCAGAAAGCTACCACTGCTGAACCACTCCACCGGCTACTGGACAGGAAGGCAGAATGGAAATGGGGGGAGCGAGAGAGGAAAGCGTTCGAAGACATCAAGAACCTTTTAACGTCAGACAGAGTTTTAGTGCAATACAGCAGGACATTACCCATAAGACTAACTTGCGATGCATCCCCCTTCGGCATCGGAGCTGTATTGAGCCACAAGATGCCTAACGGAACAGAGGCCCCCATTGCATTTTTCTCCCGGACTTTGTCAAAACCCGAACGGAACTATAGCCAATTGGACAAAGAGGCGTTAGCCGCAGTAGCCGGAATAAAAAGGTTCCATGAGTATCTCTACGGTCGGAGTTTTGAACTAATAACCGACCACAAGCCATTGTTAGGCATCATAGCAGGGGACAAACCAACACCCCCCGTTTTGTCGCCCAGAATGCTAAGATGGGTAGTTCTGGCGGCCTACAACTACACATTGCTCCACCACCCGGGAAAATCAATCGACCATGCAGACGCCCTCAGCAGGTGCCCACTTCCAGAAACGGGGGAGGATCCAGCGCCAGCGATGACCACCCTGCTAATCAAGACGATGGAGGAAGCCCGAATTTCTGCAGCCGACATCGCGAGGGCCACCTCAAAGGACAAAATACTGGCGTGAATTTTAAATTGGATCTGGAAGGGGTGGCCGGAGGAAAAAGACATAAGCACAGAGTTCCTGCCATACAAACGGAGGCAAAATGAACTGTCAGGACTAAGGGGGTGCGTGTTGTGGGGGGATAGAGTCATTGTTCCAAACACACTAAGACAACAGACACTCAGATTACTCCACGACGGGCACCCGGGGATCGTGAGGATGAAAGCCCTGGCCAGAAGCTACGTGTGGTGGCCCGGGATGGACAAGGAAATTGAGACGTGGGTGTCCTCTTGCGCAAACTGCCAAGAGTCGAGGGCGGCACCAAACTCAGCCCCCGTCCACGACTGGGAAAACCCGGGAACACCATGGGCCAGATTGCACATCGACTTCGCAGGGCCGTGCAAAGGGAATACGTTCCTAGTCATCGTGGACGCATATTCAAAGTGGCTCGAAGTAGTGCTCATGTCGACGACCACAGCAGACGCAGTGATTAAAGTATTGAGACGCCTATTCGCCACACATGGGATTCCCGACCTCATAGTCTCCGACAACGGGCCGCCGTTCACATCAAACACCTTCGAGATGTTCCTCGCTGACCAAGGAATAAGGCACGCCTTATCGGCCCCCCAAAAACCTTCGACGAATGGTTTGGCGGAACGGATGGTGAGATCTACAAAGGAGACGCTTATGAGATTAGGCCCAGGGGACATTCAGGCCAAATTAGATAAACTATTAGCCATCCAGCACATTACACCAAGCGCCACGACCCACCGAAGCCCAGCAGAATTATTAATGGGCCGTAAGCTGAGATCCCCTCTGGACAGACTGCACCCGCAGTACAGCACAGAGAAGCCAACCGACTCCACGAGCAGAATCCGAGAGTTCCAGCCAGGGGACAGAGTCTACGCAAAAAACCTGAGCGGAAACCCACTCTGGGTACCAGCAACAATAACCCAGGTGACGGGGCCCCTGTCCTACCGGGTCCAGACAACAGACGGCCAGCACTGGAAAAGGCACATCGACCAGCTCAGGGGAAGATTAACGAGAGTCGAGAGGGAAACCCAGCACAACAACCAGGGGGAAGGAAAAGACACGCAAGCGGTACCAGAGCAGGCCAATACACAAACGCCAGTTCTGGACACGCCTAACACCAGCCTGGAAGAAGATAACAGCGAGCACGTACCTGAGTCCACGGAGGAGGCGACAGGCGCCGAAAGGAGCCGGCGGGGACAGCCAAGTAAAGTGGGAGAAGGAGGCGAATCCACGCCAGAGACCGAGTTCGAGAGAGTTCCGGAGCCCACACAGAGGGAGCAGCGGACCTCAACCTCTCAACCCGAAGGCACTGGAACGACTGAACTGCGCAGGTCCGGTCGAACCTCCAAGCGACCCGCCTACTTACGCGACTACGTAGCATAGAGACCCCGGACGGGCGGACACTGAACTAGGGGGGAGGAGTGTTAGATATCAAGTACAGTTCAAATGAGCCAATCAGGAATTAGTCCTGAGAGCGGGAAATTAGAAGGCACGTCAGTGGTTGCAGCCGGGGACAGCCCCTTCCTATATAAAGGGTTGCCCGGGGTTTGAATTGCCATTGCTGTTTCTGGAGTTAAATAAAAGAGTTACAGTTACATTGTTTCGAGTCTTCCTTCAATCGCCCACGATTTAACACTTAGGACCCGGGTATTTACGAGACCACTTTCTGCCACCGATAGCCTCCCACCGACCAGTACGTTCCCACAGAGAGGGGCTCTTCAGGGTGCCATCGGTCAAACAATGTTGACTGGCGGCCCCTAGGGGGAGAGCCTTCTCTGTGGGGGCACCTACCCTCTGGAATGAGCTGCCCCTGGAGATACGGCGGATCCCGGATCTTCGCACCTTTCGCCGCTCCCTAAAGACGCTTTTATTCTAGCAAGCCGGGCTGGCCTAACTTTTTAAAATTATTTAATTTTTAAATTGTTAATTATGGGTTTTAATATAGGGGTGTTTTTAATTGTGGGCCAAATTAATTTAATTGGATTTTAATACTGTTTTTAAATTTTGTATTTCTTGTGTTTTACCTGTTGGCTGTTCACCGCCCCGAGTCTTTCGGGAGAAGGGTGGTATATAAATATAAACAAATAAATAAAATAAATAAATAAATAAATAAAGGAGAAACTTCCTAACAGTGAGAACAATTAATCAGTGGAACAACTTGCCTTCAGATGTTGTGGGTACTTGGACTACATGACCTCTAAGGTCCCTTCCAGATCTATTCTGATTTTGATTCTGAACTGTTGCCTATATGTTGTTCTAATGTTTCTTTCTCTAATATAGTAGGCAGCAAAAAAGATGTCCATCATTGATAGAACATCTGTTACTTCCAAAACATGGTGTGTGAATCTCCCTTAAAGCAATAAATGTTATAAGATTTTTTGCTTTCCTTTTGAGAACTCATGTGATCTTAGCATCCTTACTTGAGACCCTATGAAACTCACAGCAAAAATGTGTGACATTTCATGAAATTTAGCTGATTTTCTTATCATTCAATTAATTTTTGGGGGCTTATCATTTAATGGTACCTGAAATCTGAAAATCTTGCTGAGCCGTCCTGAGGTCTAGGATCCCAACCAAATGAGTTCCAAAATAAGGAACTCATGGTCTTCTAAACAGTTTTTGACCAATACCTCCAAGCATCACCCATCATTGGGTTCAGTGGATCTCCTGGAAGTTTATAACAAATAACATTTCAAACATTCTTCTGTAGATAAATTCAGTTTCATTTCCATATATGTCTTTACATGTTTACATCTTTTGCATTTCCTAGTTTGTTTGTTTATCAAATTTACTCATTCAGTTAAGCTATTTTACTGCAAAAAGTATTATGACTTTAATTGACAAGGACTGTAGCACCTTTCTATCTAATCATTTAGTCAGCTACCAAATTAAAAATAAGTTCTTTGTTTTCATGGAACTGAGTCATCTCTTGCAAAAAACTGCCTTCTCTTTTTGTTTATGCTTGTTTTCTCATTACATTGACAAGTTTCCTGCTTATTGACTGTGTTCAGAAAAGCAGTTTAACAAAAGTTAATCTCATGAAGAATGGCATAAAACCAGGAGAATTAAAGGAATGTGCTGTTGTAGAAAGCAGTTTAACCAAGATTTTTCTGTGCCCTACTTCCCTAAAATGAATAGCAGACATGGTTGGAAATTAGCTTTCATTCAAGCCTGAGATAAAGCAGAAAATTAGAAAAACAAGCATAGGTCATCATAGCCAGTACAATTAAAACAAAATGACTAGTTAAACAATTTAGTTAGTTCTTAGTTAGTTCTTTATAGTTAACCTTTTTATTGATAAATATATTTTAGATGGCTAACAAGATAAACATTAAAATAATTACAATTAAAATATAACTAGGACCTAATGAAAGTATATTAAATAACATTATGAAGACACTTCTCCAGCTTGTTCAAGCAAAAAGTCAAAGGCATAGAAAAATACCATACTTTTTTCTTGCTGGCAGAAGAACATAATGAAACTGAATATAGGCCTAGTTAAGATGTCTATGCATATATCTCATTTGATTGGAAGAAAATTTGCTATGTGTCAAAGAGATGGAATGCAATTTTTGCAGTTGTATCTTCGGTATATTATCTCTATATATCTGTCACTAGTGATTGAACATGGGTTGAATCTCCATAGATAAATCTAATCAGGGTGATAAATCTATTTTCTGTGCATATAGATAAGGCTTTGAGATTTGTGGATTTGATGTTGGTATCTATGTGTGGGGCCAGAAAGGTGCCTTTGATTCAAACCTTGGGCTACTTCCGAGCCAGAGAGTAAATGCTGAGTTACTCTGTGACAATTTTGCTGGAAAAAAATGATGGAATTCTACACTGATTACATACTGAACTATTCAAAAGCTGCCAAAATGTGAAAGGTTGTTCCTGCCTAATGTGTGCTGGCGCAGAAGATGGCCAATATGTACCGTATGTAGATCTATGTCCACAAAAGCAGCTAAGACAATTCATTCTCAAATCCCTCAAACAAGACTGCATTGTAGAATACAGTCCTTCTCTTTGTAACTGTTAGTTCCGTCAAATGAGTCTTACTAATCAGGTCTTAAACATTAACCAGATTAAGAACCACAATTGTTGGACGTGGAAAGTTTCATCAGAGTGAACAGCTTTTCTATGTGGGACACATATTTCCCTTTCTTTCCCAGTAACCCTTGGAACGCTCTGAAATTAATTTAACAGGACATAGTAACATTTTCAAAATACATTCAGCTGAGAAGATAAAGGAATTTGATATATATATTCAACCTGTAATTATTATGAGCCTTATCTTACAATAAATGTTCTGTCTTTGAAATCCTTCCAATTTTTATGTTTGTTTTCCCAGTTAGATGTCTCTTACAGGTCATAGAAAGCTTGTAAATAAATAAACAAAAAGGATATGATAGCACAGTAAAATATTACAGCATTTTTTTTCTCTGAAAAAAGAAACATCTGGGATAGTTTATTTTGCTGAAACACCAAAAAGAATATTATTGAATTAAATTCTGAATGTATTTCTTTTTATTTTATATTGAAAATACATAGCTATTGCTATTTATTATTTAACATATGGTACTTGATAGAAGAGAAGTAAACATTGTATTGCTATTGCTAATAATAATTAACAATAGTGATAAAATAGTTAAGAGTTTCTGCTGATATAGCATTCACAATAGAAAATGATACAATTAAAAATTAAGATTAATTCTGAACTTCCGGTGATGTCACCATGCCAGGAACAAAGGGGACTGAGCTCCATTCTCTAAGTTCCTAATTTTTGATCTGGAAGCCAATTTCTGGCACTATTGACCACGAAGAGGTCAATAGATTAAAGGGGAAATCCCGAGGACCTCGGAGGCGGCAGCAATTGCTCCGAAGGTTCAGGGAAAACCCCTTAATTCCGATCCGGAAAAACCCAGCCATTCGTGGCTAGCCTGAGCGCTGACAGCTGTCTAAGTGGGAAGTGAAAATCGAACAAAAAGACATCGGCAAAATACAACAAGGAAGCAAAACTTTGAAAGGTACAACTATAGAACAGAGGGAAAAGAACATAAATAAGAGAGAGTCTCCAAACTACTTGGCGAAAGGAGCCAGAAAGAAAGCGGCGAAGTGAAAGTAAATGGAGAGGAGAAACCAGCCAGAGGGTGACTAAGCGGAACTGACAAGCGACGGATCCAACACGGATTTAAAGAAGACACACTGGAGAGTCGTGGATTATAAAATATACTGAGCTTGGTTTGATTGGGATTCGGAACTTAGTGAGGATTGATTTTTTGGACTGTGAAAAGAACATTATAAAACAACTGGAATAAGAGAATAAGAGACTATAAGAGACCATAAGAACAGCAACAAAAAACAAGATCACTGGACACTGAACCAAACACTGGGATTATTAATGATATTAATATAGACTAGGAAAAGGAATCGTTGGACCTATTGCAAATAGAAACGGAGCTGAGGAGACAGGAGAGATGTAACTACTGAAAGTGAGAGTGGATCTATCGAATCTCGCACTTGAAATAAACAAATGAACGGTGGACTTAAATAATCATATTAGGGTACCTACCTGAAACAAAGAAATGACATTGGGGTTTTGACACTGTGATATTGTGATATTAATACAACTGGGAAGCAAATGAAAGGATACTTGTAATAATTTCTATGGGAGACAAGTTTTGAATGATGCAAGACTAGCTGAGATTACAACAACCATGATTTTAGACGCTGAACCAAACCACTAAGATTTGTATATGAACTATAATATAAGTTGATTTAATGATATAATTTAACTAACCAATTAGTAAAACCATTTCTAGTTTTTTTAAATTTTCTATACATATATTATATTGTATTATAATTTTATAAGCTTAGATTTATAGCATAAGTAAATTGAATTGATAAATATAGAGAATAATAAAAAAGCACATATTTATTTATAGATATATAAGGAAGAAGGATAGAATAGTATTCGATTGCAGTAATAGATTGATAATATTTTAGGAACTGAATAGATAATAGTAATACAACAAATATTTTATTTTCTTTATTGTCCTTCTCCTTTTCTTCTGATATAAATTATTATAAACTTGAGTTATTAATACATTACAATACTGATAAATTGGAATAAAGCAAACTAGAATTATTAAAATACATAAACTGTGTTTATCATATATATAGTTTATAATAATCATATTTATACTATTGCTTGAGATAAGTATTGATACTTAATGTTGGTAAGACTAAATAAATAAGTTAAAATTTAATAGAATACCTAAGATAGAATAGACACATGACTTGCTGAAATATTTGATTTTTCCCTTGCTCCTCAGTAAATATCCATAAATCCTTATATAACGATATTGAAAGTGAACTTATAA